CCCCCCCCCCCCCCCCAGGGGGGGCTGAGCTGGCCACCAAAAAAAGAAAAGAGAATAGATTAAACAGATCCTCAAAGACCACAAACAACTTAAGTTTTAAACTTTACAGGCATTCAGCTAACAAAGTTGATATGGAAGAAAACAAACAAAAAAAATACTCAGACATGTCTATGGTGTAATATTAGATTTAATTCCCATGTACTTTTTGATTCATCAGAAGCAAAGTGTTTCCTGAAATACATGTGCAAAATTTGAAATACATAGAGAAAATAAATCCTAATATATTACTCCCTTATATTTGTAGCATGGGGGTTAGGAAAACATTTAAATTGAGTTTTCCATAGTGAAAAATTAATGTTTTGTCTTTTTCAGGATGTAGAGTTACTGATGAAATTTTGCATCTAGTGCCAAATAAAGAAACTTTTAGACTCACCCTAAGGGCAGTCAAATTATGGGCAAAACGTAAGTACCAAGTCTTATATTTTCTATTATATTTTTAATTTTGTTACTGGTGATAAAGGCACATAGGAAAACTCAGCCTATTTATACCATCAGGGATTGAGTCCAGTAGACTTTGGAATAATTCCTTTTTCAGGTGTAATGATTATGTCCTCTGTTTGTAACTCTTCTTGCTTGGATGAAAGCTAAAACACCTCCAGATTTTCCATTTCAGGTTTTGGCCATATACATACATGCACACACTTCTATCTGTGTGAGAGATGATCAAATATATAGTGAGTTTTCTTAACTTATTGCTGTAGAAAAGACATTGCCAAGAATATAGGACAAGTATATTGAAAGCTGGGGAAAGCCAGGCATGGGTAGTGCACACCTGTAATCTCAACACAGGCAGGAGGAGTGCCGTGAGTTTGAAACCACCCTAGACTACCTAGTGAGTTCAAGACCTCTTGAACTACACAGCAAGACTGAAAATAAGCGGAGAGTACTTTGAGGGGAATTAATGGCAATATATCTTTTACTGTAGTAAATTTTTTGTTTGTTTTTGTGGAACCGGGGATTGAACTCAGGCCCTTGCATTTGCCAGGCAAGCACTTATTCTACTGAGTCATCTCGCTGGCCTTGTAGTAAAATTTTAGATATGTCTTATTTGCCTAGTCTCCACCTGGCACAGCAGATTCTATATTATTTGTATCTTCAGTTAGGTGTTGTTTAACATCTGAGAGATGCACTGTTAAATACAGATAATCCTCATTTTAACATGTCATCTGTTTAACAACTATTCAGACTTACAACTCACTGCTTACATTTATGGCCTATCTTTGTTTTGTATTATTCCATACATGTTTATAGAGGCTTGGTTTTGTTTTGTTTTGTTTTTGTAGCACCTTATTTATACAGTACTGATCATACTGTATAATACAGTGTTATGGTTCTGTTGTACATTAAAACGCTGCATGTAAGAGTTATACAGATAAAAACACAGTCAACAGGGGGCCGCCAGCTAGCTCAGCAGAGTAAAGGGCGTGCTGAGATGGCAGTTGAGACTGGGCACGGTGGCACATGCCTGTAATCCCAGTGCTTAGGAAGCTGAAAACAGGAGGGTCACTATGAGTCCCATCTACGTAGTGAGACCCTGTACACCCTGTAGACCCTGTCCTAAATTCATAAAAAAGAAAAGTCAACAGATTGATGTTTCTTTTGACCATTCTTTTGTTCTCAGTGTTGTAATGGATGTGCTATAGACAATTCCTCATTTAGCACCTAGCCACAAGATCATAACTGTCATTAAATGAGAAATGTTTCTAATTTCACTATGCAAACATAGAACACACTTCTGTAAATCTAAATGATAAAATATATTACACACTTAGGCTACAAGCCCACATACAGCATGTTACTGCATTGAATACTGTAGTTGTAGCACATTAGTATTTGTGTATTTAAAGATATTTAAGTGAAAAGGTAGATACCACTTAGCATGAATGGTGCTTGTAGGACTAGAAGTAGCTCTGAGTGAATCAGTGAATGAGTAGGCCATGAGTGTAGCATCAATGGCTGCTTGTCAATTTTAATATTGTGTTCCTAAGGGAAAAATTCTAAAAAAAACCACTCTTTTAAGAATGAAGTTATCCTATCAAATGGCAAGGATTGTATTATATCCTAAGAATAATTATATTAATTTTCCAGGACGTGGTATTTATTCCAACATGCTAGGATTCCTTGGTGGTGTCTCCTGGGCGATGCTAGTTGCAAGAACTTGCCAACTATATCCAAATGCAGCAGCCTCTACATTAGTTCATAAGTTTTTTTTAGTCTTTTCCAAATGGTAAGTATATGTACTTTGACTCTCCTCATTTCTGCCTATATATCAGTTTACTCAGAAATTTAAAAGCTATGCATGGGCTTTCTGATTTTTTAATACATTCCTTAATTTTTAAAAACTTCACAAATTTAAAGCAATGTTAGCACATCTAGATAGCATTTTATTTATTCATTTGTTTTTCTTTGATACCTAAGTACTGTATATATTTACAGGCAACCATGATGTTGTATTTTGCTATATTGCCATAATGTAATATACGTTATATGATACATCAAGATAAACATATTTGTCCCTTCAAATTTTTTTTTGAAGATGCACTAAATACTTTCCTTTTAGCTTTGATGAATATACAGTGCAATTAGCATTCCCTTTATTTGCTTTTCTGTGCAGTAGAACACTAAAGCATATTTCTCTCTCAAACTGAGTGCCTAGAGACCAACATTTCCTCATCCTTCTCCTTGCCTTATTTTTTGTAGCCTCCAGTGTGAATATTCTACTCTCAACCTCTGTAAAATCTATGTTCTTAGATTCTGTGAGGTCATGCAGTATTTTTCTTTGCCTGCTTATTTTACTAAACATAATGACCTCTAGTTCTCTCCATGTTGTCACAAATTACTGCATTTCATCTCTTTTTATGACTAAAGAACACATACTTTCTTGCAGGGAGTTGTAAATAAGGGCCTTTAGCTTGAGAAAGAGGTTACAATAGGTTCTGCTCTGCACATTACAACCTGTGAAGAGATGATTTAATCTCATCTGTAAGCTAAAAATGGCAATCCTAGCTAACACCTTGATTATTGATTTGTCACTATTTCCAGTAAATGTTAGTTCTTGCTATTACTAAATTATCAGAATTAAATTGAGGAAAGCAGATGAGAGGAAAGGAGAAGGTTCAGTCTAAATTAGTTACAACTAAGCAGGCCTGGTGGTACATATTTTGTAATCCCAGCTCTTCGGAGGCTGAGACCAGACGATCTCTAGAGTTTGACGCCAAGTAGGCTATATATGGAGTTCAGGGCCAGTCTAAACTACATAGTGAGGGCTGGGGATGTAGCTTGGTGACACAAGCGCCTGCTTGAACTGCATAGTGAGACCCTGTCTCAAAAACAAATTAGTTGCAGCTAATCAGAAAAGTACTATTTGTTCTTGCTGCGGAGAACACTGCTTCAGAGTACTCTTTTCCATTGTATACTTTATTCGTTTTTTTTTTTTTTTTTTTTTTTTTTTTTTTTTTTTTCTCGGAACTGGGGATTGAACTCAGGCCCTTGTGCTTGCCAGGCTAACCTTTATTCTACTAAGCCATCTCCCCAGCATAATCCTTTTTTTCTTTTCACTTTCTTTTAAAAAAAATTAAATACCCAGAACAGCTACTGTATAAAAGTTGGAACAGTCATGGTTTTAGTATTGTGTTTCATGTCTGAAGTGATATCCTGTAAGAGTTAATATGCCTTGTTTTTACGTTAGGGAATGGCCAAATCCTGTGCTATTGAAACAACCAGAAGAAAGCAATTTGAATTTGCCGGTCTGGGATCCCCGGGTATGTGATTTGCTATGGAGTTTCATTAAGGAAAGAACACTTTTTAAAATTATACAGTAAAGCTTATTCCCTTATCCCTGCTCATTTTCCTTCTTGTAGCTATTATCCTTTCCTTTCCTTTCCCGAATTTTTTAGTGCAGATGATTTGGATCACTAACATTGATTTAAATGTTATGTTGATAAAAATCACCCACATAAGACTACAGAAGTAGGTGTATCAATGATGGTGCCATAATCTAGTGTGAAAACTGTCTCATGAGCATTTACTCATAATGGACTTCACAGTGCACTTTTGATTAGTGGTCCCAAGACAGCATTATTCTTATATACCTTGTGTTTTAACTTGCTTTTAGAGTGAGTGCTCATCCCTCTGAATAACCAAAGGGAAATTATCCCGAGTGGATGCAGAAAAAGGATTAAGAATAATTGGACCAAATAATGTTTATTGCAGTTGTACTACTGCATTTTTTTGATTCTAAAAGGCCATTGTTTATAAGCTGCACCATCACTGTAACAGCATTTCTGAGAAAGAATACACTGTAATTTTCTTTGACTTTGACTGTCAGACCCATCTGACTTTAGAAAGAAATTTTGGCAAAGTGAAATGTTCTTGAGAGTTAAGGAAATCATAGCTGAGTGTGGTATTGCACACCTGTAGTCCCAGCACTTGGGAGACTGAGGGTGTGGCTACATTATGAGTTCAAGACTAGTTTGAACTGTACAGGGATACAAAACAAAAGGAAATTTATTTATGTATTTATTTTTAATTTTTTTTTTTTTTTGGCGGAACCAGGGATTGAACTCAGGCCCTTGCGCTTGCCAAGCAAGTGCTTGTTCTACTGAGCCATCTCCCCAGCCCCAGGAAATTTACTGTTAAATTTATATTTCATATTCTTCAGACTTTTGGGAAAATGAAGTTTACAGCTAAAATAAGAGAACAGATCAATTATTCTACTTCTTGGTTCACAGGTAAATCCATCAGATAGATACCATCTCATGCCCATAATCACCCCTGCATACCCACAGCAGAATTCTACATATAATGTGTCCACATCAACTCGAACAGTAATGGTAGAAGAATTTAAACAAGGTAAACATGTTGACCCCTTTCTCTTTTACATAATCCCACAAAGTTTTGATTGACAGTTTTATTCCCTATTGTATGTACCTATGTTTTGGCAGTTAGAAATATGTAATTTACTCTCCTTAAAATTTCTTCCAAATTTTCCCAAATGTGTATTAATACTAAAGCCAGAAATTAAGCCAACTCTGAGATAGCTGAACTTCATTTTTGTATTCTGAGAAACAACAGAATATATGTTTATGTTTTATGACTCAAGAATTTTTGGGGATAGAAGTTGGGATAGAAGTTTGGAAAAAAAAAAGTTTGGGAGTAAAGCAATAAAAGAAAATTTGAGTGTCTTTTCTGTCACTGTCTCTCATTTAGGTCTTGCAGTTACTGATGAAATTCTTCAAGGGAAATCTGATTGGTCTAAACTACTGGAGCCACCAAATTTCTTTCAAAAGTACAGGTATTTGAATTTTGCCTTTTGTGCATTGAGTGTATAAGAATGTTAGATTTGGAGAGGTGGTATCTGAT